CCTCGGAGCGTACATTTCATGGGCTTAGGTACCCCGCACCTCCACAGAGATGTCACTAATGAAGGCAGAGGATAAACAGTGAACAGAAAATAAAGGTTAAATCGGCAAACTTGTGCCAAACAAAATAAAGAACGAGCGTTGAGAAACCACAAGAGCGTGCGGCGATTTATGGCGTAACAGCAAGCAAAAGCGAGACTGACTCGACGAGATCGCGCTCAGCTGCTTATCTATAGTCCGTTGCAACTCAAGAAGGTTGGACGAGGGTAAGACGGGCCGGGCAGGGGGAAGCAGACGGAATGTTAAAGAGAGAAGGGGATTTCCCCCTCTCACCTCCAGCGTTCCGTCTACTTCCTCCTCCCCGACACGTCTTACCCTTGCCCTACCTTCTAGAGATGCAACGCAACGGACTATAGAGTAAGTCGGCATCTCGAAAATTCTGCCCAAAAGTTTCGATCTTTGAGCGTTCGGGTGGAGAAGAAACACTCTTTTGAGAACAAGATAGTACAATGAAACTATAAAAGTTAAGTCCCGAGTAAGAATAAACATGTATCTTCTAGAAGTTTATGACCGAGCGATTCTTGCTTGGCCCTGCAAACGGCAATATCACGATATAGCAGTGTGTACGGCGGTACCGCTCGTTGCCCGCAAAAATCAAGCGGCCTGTTTTCGATGGCGAGTGGAGATATTGTGATTGTGACAACGCCGAGCGATCGCGGCGATCCCCTGAATGATATTCACTTGGATACAGTTGCAGGTGCGGACGTCAAAAGGCTATTTTAAATTCTAGAACCCTGAAGGACATGGTAAGAAAACTAGTTTAGCGTCCGACTAAATTTTTGCGCTCATGACATATCGCATTTATTCGAACTGTTCTGTTTCAGCAGACACAAAAGCGCAGTTGTGTTTAAAGACGTCGGCGAGTAATAAAAGAACGGTACCAGCGAATGTGTTTTTCACGTCTAGCTTTGATCGTGTCCCTAACAAGCGCTTGATTGCAAGCCGAACAAAATAATCTGGCTCTCGAACTTCGGAATTGATTCGTGTCTGGAATTGACGTGGAACCGAACCCCAGGTTCCGTTCCGTGGAAAAAGAGTCGTCCTATTCCAAAGTCTTCCGCTGACACAAACTGTCAAAATTCACGTTTTCTTTTTCCTTTTCTTTAAAGTTAGTACGTGGGTTTTGGCCGGAGTTTGCTCAAGACTCTACATAAACCGTCTGTTCACAAGCTCATATAAACACGAACATTAACGTCAGCAAGTGATTCTCAAAACAACAACAGCAACAATAAAAACCATACCGTTATGCTTTAAATACTTTAGGCAGTACCAATTTGATATGTTATGAAAACCAGCGTTAATGCTAAAATAAGAAGTTATATTTGGGCGAATATTCATTACTATTTCAATCAATTTTTATTTGAAAAAGAACTCAAGTGATTCGTTTGATCAAGTATCTTTGCTTTCCGGAAGAGTCGGATATCTGCATCTTTGATTTAAAAATTAAGCGATCCTAGTGTTGAGCAAGAAATTGACAGAGGCTGTTGGCGCTCGACGACCGCGGCTCACAGCGTATTTTGTCGCGGAGATGTGCAACAGCAAAGTTGGCCAGTCGAGTGCAAAACATTACAGCACTTCAAGAAGCCAGTGGACGCAGGAAACATAACAAAAGAGCGATTTAATTGAGGAACACACAAAACAGAGTGGTTCTGTTGGCCTTTGAAAGCCTGCAAGCAAAACCCAAACCGCAAGTGTTCTCGGCTGCCTGTCATGGCGACCGGAAGCTGCCCGAATACCACGTATACAGTTGTGTAATACGTCTTTTACAGTTGCACAGCCTGTCATGTCATATGATAGGTCAATGAAATTTTATTTTATGTCCTTAAAAAGTCTCTTCAGTTTGGCATTAGGCAGCATGGTCATGGCCTGCATCCCCTTTTCTCTCGTTTAGACTTTGGGATGGAGAAAATTGATAATGTATTGTTCCGTTTCGTTCACTTCTGCATTAAACGTTCTGTTATAGCGTCAGGTTGTTCAGCAGCTGAGATGCACCGCCACCTCTCGGCAAGAATGCAAATCAGTGCGGTCTCTAGGCGGGCGCTGTCGTACTTGCGTGCGACGTGGTCGTAAGTATAGAGGAGGTCGTTTGTCAGAAGGAAGGTCTCGCAATGGACCCTTTCTACATACCGACGGCACTAAGCGGTGGCTGCACGAACTAAAAATCTAGGAATAGACCTACCTTGCGCTACCAATCGATAACGGAAGCTACGCTACCAGTTTCTTCGCTCTCTGGGCTGCGGCGCGTGCTCAACGCGAATTTAAAGGAGCCCTGCAACAATTTTTGTACTTTGCGCAAATACCGCTTAAAACGGATCCCTAACGTTAATGACCTATGAAACACGCGTTCGTTTTTCCCCCCACAATATAGAAGTCCCAGAAAAAAATTAAAGAAAAACGAGCAGCGGTCACCCCCTCGACTCGCAGCCAGAACAAGCGGCCACGTGATCTGGAGCCGATTATATGCCGCCAGTGTTGATCATAGCCACGCGCTGGGGTTGGCAAAGCGCAGGACACGCGCTGAGTTCCAGACATTGTTATGGCTCGGCTGTTGTCGTTGCAGCGATTGGACTCGGGTCACTACCCGAATGCTTCTCGAGCTAGCAATTATCACGATCCCAAGTCGAGTGCCCACGCAATGCTCGGGTCCAATCTATGAACCGCATTCAAATATCGTCACTTGGGTGTACTGCGATCGCCACTTTAAGTCATCAAATTTTGCAAAGGAGAGATTGAATGAAAATTATCGCTTTTGTTCTTGAAATTACACCGCAACAAAGGAGTTTCTTGGCCAGTGGCGTTGCGTGTGAGTATCCTTGAGTCCCAGGTGTGCCAGTAAGCTCGTGTCAAGTGAAAAACATTCACTCTGAATATCGTTGCACAGCTCCTTTAAAGAGGGAAAACAATTATATATATGCTGCAATTACGTGTTCTACTCGCTGATCCGCAACCTGCTTCCGAATTTCCTCGATTTTTGGTGCCGACTTCCACCGCTTGGCATTGGGTTCTCGCACGTGCGCAGAACGCTTCTCGGAAAAGGTCCAACAGAAAGCCGTGGAGGCAGGTTCGCTCTCACGCCTTCTCGAGCCAATCAGATACTCGCAGCACCAAGCAGTCAAAAGAAGCAGCCGTGAAAGCAATTTTAGTAGCACGTGTTGAAAATTGCTAATAAAGCACAGTATAATCGGCATGCTGGAAGCAGCACTCCGGGCGTGAACAGAAGAAAATACTAACAAAAATGTTGGATTTTGTAGGTTATCCCAATTTGTTAAAGTTTTGTTCAGCCTGTTCAATCGCAAATTGGAACATGGGTCTTTTACTACATTAAATTTTTCGCTTGCTTTGTTTTACTTAAGAGCATGTTTGTAAAAGAAGAAAACAATAAAGAAACAGCCTTTTGCCGTTTTGCACAGCTGCCAGCTTAGATGATAAGGCCACATATTGAATGAAGCGAAGGTCCGCTCTTGGCCACTAGAAAATAAAGCCCCTCTATCAAGGGAAAAGTGGCGCCGTTCATTGTCGTGGCAATGCTCGAAACACGTGCCGCGCGTCAGTTCTGGAAAGAACAAGGCGTCTGAAACCTAGCTCAGTGTTACGCTGTGCCGCCATGATAGTGTGTACTCTAGCCATGATCTTTCTAAGGGCTGCACGTTGCACGTGCCTCGTGCCTCGTGCCTCGACGCACCATGCGCTACTTTTAAAACATGGAGGGATTTTACTGGAAAAAGCAATCTTCTTGAGAGCCCCACACCTCTAATGGTCATATCAAGAAAGAAAGACGGTTTGCGCATTAGTCATGCGCTGCGCGAAGTAGTTGTCACAAGATTCGGTTGTCAAAAAAGACAAAGAGGCGATGATTTTGGCTTTCAAAACGTGTACTTCTTGATAAAATAACATAAAGCAACTTAAAGGTGTAGCTGCATTTATCTCAATAGACGACTTCCATAAATCCGTCACCGCGCGCGTTGCATTCTGGGAACATGTGGGCCCAGGAGCGGAGTGCGTACGGATTTTACTGCCTACTGATCTCCACAACGTATAACGTGGCATTACACCGCGAAAAGGCGCTAAGAAGTTTTGGAACAAGTCGAGTCAACGCTAGGAGGAAGAATTTACCAACGTCTCGCAAATCGCAAAATGATTTTTTTTTTTTACTACGGTTATTTTGGTGATTGCCATATAGAACCACTTGGTGATGTTAGTTTTTGAATAGAAGCCCCAAGGCTGTGGGTCGCCCCACCCCCCGGCTACGTGCCTGGTCGCCCGAAGAGCTTGGAGGGTCGCACTGCGCATAGGCAAAACCCCTGCGGCTGCGCAGCATGACGCTCCGAGTTCCTTGGGGAATCCGAAGTATTGGGGCTTTCTATTCTAAAAAGCTCTTTTCGGCTTCGCGTTTCTTCAGGTGCCGGCAGTCATTGTTGTGCGAACGCGCGAAACACGTGCCACGAGCGAGTGCTCCGTCGCCATTCGCTTCCAGAGGTGGCTCATGTCAGTGCTTTGGCGCCTTTTGCTTCCAGGGGCTGCACGGGCCATATGCATCGTGCTTTGGCGAATTTGACGCTAACCTATAAAACAGACACAAACACGTCAAGGGACTTTAATCACACCTTCCCTTCTTGCACAGAAACCGTAGTTTTATTACTCGGTTCTTTATATTTACGCAGCTATGCTTCATCTCACCTTAGCATGGACTAACTGCGAAGGCTGTGCAAGAGCGGGCGGCTAGCCTTGACTACATTGACTGGAGCACTCGCTGCACGACCGCTCGTGCAGCCGCCGAGGGTTCAAAGACAAAGAAAATAGCTCCCTTTTTTAGCATTCGCGGCTGACAACAGTCCATGCTAAGGTGAGACGAAGTATAGCAAACACACAACAGCCACAAACAGTTTCGTTCAACTTATTGAAAAAAATATTTTATGTAAATTAAGCCTTCGCATCTAGAATGGTCAGTCAAGTTTGGCTTCTGGCGATGGTCTCAGCGAAGGGTTTTCCGGGGTTGGTTGACGAGACTCTATCTGCTCCGGAAGGTGAGAAAGCCCTTGACGCTCGAGAAATTCAAGGTACATTTTGTGCTCTTTGGGATCCTTGGGTCCCCAGTTTTGCGTGGGTAACAGTGCCTTGCGGAAGTCCTGCACAGGGGAGTATAAGGACGAGGGCAAAGATGAACCATGTTTGCACACAGAAAACCCAGAACAGGGGCTGAAGTTTAGACAGTCTGCTGCAATAAGGGCTGAACCCGCTACTAACCAAAAGGAGTAAAATACCCGGTGGAGGGAACTGAGCAAGATAAACTATAAAACAAACTGCCTCATTGTGGCAGTAAAAGATGTAACAATCTATTCCAATCTTTTTTTTAGCGCATCTGGGGTTTTTCGCATGGACAGTGTACCGCGCGGGCCGGAACGCCATTAGGCTAGCTTATATGGCAGCAACATAAATTTTGTATCAATCAATCACTTGAGAATTTAGGGCCCAAACTTCTATAATCAATCAAAGTGATGGCTCAATAGACCGTCCCAGGAATAACTGATGCCCCTAGTTTTTTCTTTTCACTACGGCGATTCGTTGTACTGCATCTGGAAGAGGGTACTACCTATGAATCGGAGGAATAGGTGCACGTTACTTTTAACATTCTGTGATTCCACACAAAGAAAGTAGGAGGCTAACAAAGAAAAAGTATTCACTGACTTCGTTTATATATATTTTTTTTTAAAATAATAATGGTAGGAAAGAATGGATCCTGCCGTTTTCAGGATACACTAATTCTCTTAGTTGGCCTCTGGGTACTTCGGCAAACGCACCAGAAGTTCCTGCACCACACGGTTCAGGTTGCGATCAAAGTAAGGCTTTCCTACAAAAAGTGAGGGCGCAAACAAGCTGGTGAAGGTTTAACATATTGTACAAAACCCGGAGACTGGGGGAAAAAAGGACATCACCACACAAAGTTTTGTCCATGTTCGATCTCTCCCCTGATGGGTCACCATCCTGCAGCCCTTTCTTTTGTGATCTTATTAGGACCTCATCGAGGTGGGTTTAGAGATCTTCCCCCTCCCCCTTTTGTTTCAGTTAGAACAGTACCGGTGTGGCTATTGGCCAATGTCCTCCCGCTCTTGTGTGTTCGGGAAAAAGAAGCTCATCCTCTCCCTTTTTCATTCCTTTTGGTTTTCCGGGCACCTGTGCCCTATAAAACCACAAACTTCTGTCCAATAAATTTCAGCTGTGTATGAGTCTTTGTGATGTGTTGTCCTTCCCCCCCCCCTCCCCCCCCCCCCCCCCCCAGTCTCGGGGTTTTGTCCAATATGTTAAGGCTTTCCTCATTTTTGTTAGATATCTATTTCCTTCTTTTACACTTTTCCGTACATGACTGAACAGACAATAGTTTCATTATTTCGGCGAAATAATTTTAAAATGTTCTTAAGCTATCTTCAGGTAAGACGAAGATGAATATTTGTGGTAAACTAAAAATAAAATAATCCAATCTTTTCTCCTTTTTTTCATTTTCAGCTAAATCTTTTTTTTTCTTCAGCTATCGCATAAGTAACTCGAATTATATAAAAAAAATATTGTGTTTACAGATGATAGGGACGTTTTAAAATATGTAAAACGTTGCTCAATGCAACGGGAAAAAATGCATGTGCGCTGAACGTTTAAAAAAAATCTGCTTAGAGCGAAGCGCAGGCTCTGCTCACCCGATGCAAAGGTAACAACCGACAAACCGAGTTCAAGCCTTAGATTGGGGTGAAATTTACCGTGCATTGTGAATCTTTGTTCCCTGTCGAAATCTTGCAATAAAGAAAAAAAAAGGGGGATCGGTGGCCGAGTGGTCTAGCGCACACCAGCTCGGAGCACGTGTAGCGAAAGCTCGCGCTGCAGAACCCAGGGAGCCTGGGTTCGAGCGCCACCCCTGCCCGTTTCGATCTGGATGAGCATCGTACAGGCGTGCGGTCGTGTATCACTACTGCGTGGTGCACGTTAAAGACCCCCGGTTAGCGGTTGTACCGCACTGGCTAAATTTCTCCTCTACAGCTGGGAGGCTCGTGTCTGCCTCACCCCTGTGAGGCAGACACAACCCAATTTATTTTTCAAGCCTTAGATCGGATTGGATTGAGGGCGAAACACTAGGCTAGATCCAGTTAGAGCTGCTAGATTTAGTAACAAATCAGAAAGCCGGAGACCCCAATCCAATTCAACCCGAAAGTGTCCATTTAGCGGCGATGCTGCCATTCGGTTATTAACAAGGTGTGTGTGGTTGAGCGTCGTGCTTTCAATGTGTTTCTGGAAGTCGCCTCTTCAATGAGGATGTCGGCGGCAAGAAAGGGCTCATTTAATCCGGTCTGTTCCAACCCGAATATTTTGGAATATGAAAGTTGGATTAAGCCCGTGCAAAATGATCCTCACAGTGCTCAATGCTCAATGCAATGCTCAATGCCTTGTGTTGTAATGGTCTTGTATACCTAACCGGTTCTACAGTGGTCGGGGAATTTCACCTGAATTTGTCAGGGAAAACCTGGAACGGTCAGGGATTTTCAAAATAATAATTTGCTGACACCCTTTACTTGTTCCGGTGTGCAGGTATTCTTGGGAGTAAACTCTGCTAAATGAGGCGAAATATATATATATATATATCTTTTTTTTTTGCAAATATGCATTGTTTTAGCAAGATGAGCCAAACTATTTGACAAAGGTGAAATAGAGAACAAGCCTCTCCACCTGGGTCTGTTTTCATCTCTCGCAGACACTATTTCCTGCTTTTTGTGATCCTGTATCAGGCTTTTCTGTCTCTATCCGGCCAAAGCATATGTGTTAGACTAAGACTGGGTTCTTTAAGATATGTGCAGGTATTCTTCGCAGCAAATAGCTGCCAATCAGGAACACAAGTTTGTTCGCGGTCACCAAGAGCAAGTATTTGCAAGGTGAGCTGTTGCCCGTTTATATGAGTTTTCTGTTCCATTCCTCCTGGATGCCGTTTCCTGTGTGTAGTGGTGTCGCATTAGTATTTTGTCGTCTTTCTTCTGCAAAAACACTCAAGTTTGGCTAAGGCCGGGTTCTTTCTTATACATGCAGGTGTTGGTGGCAAGCACCAGCCAATCAAGGCCAGAAGTTTGCTCTTTGCCACTCATGGCAAGAGTTCTCAAAGAGAGTAATTAATGCTTATCTGGGTTGTGTGTTTCATCCCTCACAGACACACTATTTCCTGTCGTTATAGTGGTCTTGTGTCAGGCTTTTGTGTCTCTGTCTGGCCAAAGCATCTGTATTAGACTAAGACTGGGTTCTTGAGGATATATGCAGCAATTCTTGGCAGCAAGTGGCTGCCAATCAGGGACACGAGTTTGGTTTCGGCCACCGAGAGCAAGTACTTTCAAGGCCAGCTATTGCCCGCCTATATGAGTTTCAGCATTTGTCAAGGCGCGCAAAATCAAAGCCCGGGGGTTGGCCATTGCAAATATGTTGACTAAAAAGCGAATATGGCTTTTAAGTCAACATTTTTGTGTTGACTTAAAAGTCAACACAAACAAAAAGCTTTACAAAAGTATCCACCTGCCTCTACAAGTGAAACCGAAACTAAGAATGTGGGTTCCTTAAAAAAAATGAAAGCCGTTTACAATTCCCTGTAACGCCGAATTAGAGCGCAGCTCTTGAGGAGGAGGATGAAAGGGTACCAGGGGAGGGTATGCCCCTCCTCCCTCCTCTTCACCTCACCATCCTGACTGCTACTCCTCCTCCCCTCCTCCCTCCTCCTCGTCCTCCCCTCATCCTTCAGCCTCCTCCCCTTGAGTCCTTCTCCCCCGTGACGTCACGGGGTCACGTGACCTCAGTGGGTCATATGAAGTCACGGGGGTCAGGTGACCTTAGGGGGGAGGGGGGTCACGTGACCTCACTGTTACGCCGACGGCGACGGCGACGTCGCTCAAGCCGGAATCGGGCGCCTTAGAGCAGCGCTCTAAAAGCGGAGCACCACCGCATGCTTCATTCCATATTCAGCCCCAGTGGTTTTCCATGACGTCAAAAATAATTGGTTTATATGTATTTTCTGATTGCTTTTCCATCGTAAATGTAGGTACGTGTAGGAAAACGAAATACGCAGAGCTTCCTTCCTCTTCCGGTGCATTTCTGCAAGCGATATTTCAGATTGAGTGTAGATACCTCATCAGGCGGACAATGCTGATAAATAATTGTCAGTTTTACGTCCGTCGTCAAAAACTATACTTGGAACCAACTCTCTTGTATTACATTGTCAAGGCTAGCGTAGCTTCCAGACTGCTGCAGTTCCGGGTGGCTCTTGAAGTCCTTGTATCTTAATTTATTTTACATTCGTACGCACTCGCATGAGTTCCTGTTTACAGCGTTGGAGCATTGCAGAAGTACGCTAGCCTTGACGACGTAGTACAAAATGGTTGGCGCTGAGTATTGTATATATTTACATTATTGAGAAAAAGATAATGTGTTAGTAGAAATAATAAGAGTGATGGAACGCTTTTCTGCGTACCCTTTTCGTGATTTAATTTGGCAGTTACCCGGGAGTACATGGCATGTGGGCCGCCAGGTTTACTGTATCATTCGTAGCCGTACGATAATGGGATTTTGACACTTTGAAATTGTGGATTTACACTGTCGAAAGCGAATACTTCGGTCTCAACAAATAAGAACCTAAGACCCTAGAATGCACTGCTCTAATATCCCGAATGAACGCTCAGTCATTAAACAAATATAAATAAACAAATACACGAGATAGCAATGTGTCGGGGTAATGCGTTTTAGAGCGCACCTCTCAGGCGCCCGTTTCCGGCTTGAGCGGCGCCGCCGTCGGCGTAACCGCGCGTTGCATGCAACCCGTTGCATGCAGCTTTGCATGCGCGTTGCACTCTGCGTAGTTTCCCATAATGACGTCACGAGGGTTACCCTCATGAGGGTTACGAGGGTTACGAGGGCTACCCTCACGAGGATCACCAGGGTTATAACAGTTAACCCTGACGTGACCCCCCCCCCCCCCCCCCCCCCGAGGTCACGTGACCTCATGGAGTCGCCTATTTTCTATTCTCCCCCTCAAGAGCTGCGCTCTACTCCGGCGTTACAAGGACTTGTAAACGGCTATCATTTTTTTTTCGTAATTTAACGGTACGAGCCCTTTTTGGCGTACCGACAACCTTTAGGAAACACTGAAAATTCAAGCCTGTTAAGCATATATTATGACTCTGACCTGAGTTTGAACAGTATTTTAACGCTGGGCGACGGTCAATAAAATGCTACTTTCCACGTTGATTGCTGTCCCACCAAATTTGAAACACAGACACACACATTCTACATACGATGAACGTAATTGCACCCATATCTTACAAAGCCGCACTTGTAGAAGTGGTGTACGGCGAAGATGATCATAATCTTAATTGCCATGACGGCGGAAAAGATGCCAAGGTATTCAGCCCACTCCGGAAACACGTAGTCGCCCAACGTCAGGGGTTTGTACGAGACGAAGGCGGCCAAAACAATGAACTGCGTTCGAAGAAGCAAAGGTTAACACGCTGCAAACAAGCACCCTGTAAGGTACTTTTTTCGCTTTAGATTAAATTAAATTAAATAATTAAACCAGGGTGATATAAGCCGTGAGACAGCGTACACAGTAAACGACCACAAAAGAAAGCAGCATACAAACAGTGTTGAAGTAGGAAAACAAATAAACGTTGTGTGCGTTTTTGACGAGACTGCAGTCAACATGACTTCCGTCATGTTCACTATCGCTTTGCGGCGACTCTATAGTTGGTTTCACCTTATGTCCAAACGTGGACGATGTTATGAGCCAAAGGGACAATCAAACAGCGTAAAAAGCGCAACGTCATGGCGTGCTCTGTGCGCTTGACAGGACTAGCCGACGGAGGAGCACGCACAGAGAGACGGCGAAACCGGCTATTCCCATCAACTGCAGAGAGCACGCCATGGCGTTCTGCTTTTCGCGCTGTTTGATTGTCCCTTCGGCTCATAACATCGGCCGTGCTCGGACCGAAGCTGAAACGAAGTATAGTGGGTTCTCACCGTGCCTACCACTTGAGGCAGATCGGGAATCCACCAACGATGACGTCATGAACTGGCCTTTTAGGCTAGGTTGCGTTGGGTACTTCATTGTTTAAAAACATGTACGACGTAGCGACGATCAACTTTCTTCGCTCGTTACCTATTTTATACGCTCCTCAACAGCATTTGACCAATGTGAGCGTAGCGTGCGCAACGCAAAATATGCTTCAATGTTGCTTACTGCAAGGCATACTGGACACGTCACTCTCCAACAAAATCTGGTGATGAAGTGGGGTGGATCCCCCATCATGAATTCCACATCCGCGCAGAAACGTTTTATTCCTGCAAACGGAACATTCGACGCCGCTTGAAATTCGCGGGAAATAGAATGAAATTATAAGCACCCTCCTTACTACACACACAAACACACACACACACACACAAAGAGCGGTCGTGCAAATAGACTGTGCTCCCGTGACACTAAACTCTTGCTGAATGTAGCGGACCAGTTTTTTTGCTAAATTTAGAAGGAAATTGTGACGACATGTGACCTCACGTGACACTGTGATTTCCGATAATTTTATCGGAGGCAGTGTTGCGCTAAACGACGTCACAATGATATGTGACCTCACACCACGTGGCACTTAGCGGATACATTTTCCCGCTAAATAGGGCTAACAAATTCTTCCGCCGAGTTTAGCTGGCCACGTCGGAAAAACAAACACCCTGGGATCCTTTAAAAAACACTTGGCCAATAACGGCTATCACTGTAAAAAAAATGGGAAATCTGAAACGGGTGTCACGCCACCGATGGTCCTAAGAGGCCATTGCTGGCCGTCAAACCGGTGGCATTTGGGAATTCTAAGTGTCTTCCTAAAATAAGTAGCGTCACCAATAAAACGTAAGGAAGAAAACAAAAGGCTTACCGTAACCAAATACAACCGCCAAGATTTCTGCGAGCCCGATCCACGGTAGCATCTCTCCTCCAATGAACGTATCCATCAAGGTCAGAATATAGAGCCCGCCCTGAAATCAAGAATCGTAACAGTGCCATGAATACACCGACGGCTTTATACGCAACTATGTTTGATATGCTTCCTCTTAGGCAAAATAAAAATATTGTACAAAGCAGGACAGTTTTTTTTTTGTTTTGTTTTTTTCGTTTCCCCTCCTCTATGGTCACGCCACTCCCTGCACACATAGACACCATCCTTTCTCCGGAACGTCCCGACGACTCGAATTCCTTCATTAGCGACATCATCTCTCATACCCATGTCTGTCGTCGCCTGGCTCGCCTCCGCACAGCAGAACACCAGCATCATGCGAAGGAACGTTATGACGCCCATCACCGCAACGAATACTACTCCTCAGGTGACTGCCCTCGTCGCATTTCCCATTCACCAAATCGGCAGGTGCACGGAGTTTTCCCGCTCTACCGCATCATGAAACAGACGTCACCCGTGAGCTATGCCATACAAGCGCTCACCATCCCCACCAACGGCTTCTCTCTCCAGTCAGATAATCGTCCATGTCTCCAGACTGAAGCGTTGCAATCCTCATTCCACCGGCCAGTATGGCCTTCCTCCAGGGGGAAAATAGGAAAGATGTGAGGTGTGGGCGCGACTTGGCGCTAAAGGAATCGGACCACCGAGCATGGTGGTCCGAACACTCGTGAGCCGGGCCGGCTAGCGAGGCTCGGGAGCGGGACGCGAGAAAAGGCGCAGCAGATTTGAAAATGACTCCGTTGAAATCGGTTGACCTTCCGGTGTCATCGCTGGTTCTTCTGCCCCTGCTCCTCCTGCCAACGGCTATCGGAGGCCAGGAATAAACTTTCTCGCTATATGCACAAAACGTGATTTCCGAGATTTGTGTGTCCAGTCCACAAAAAGCACCTAGATTGCTCCAGAAAAGTACTACAATACAGACAATTTCAGTATTTTAAACATGGAAGTTCAATCACGGTTATAAAATTCCTAGACGACAAAAACTCATAAAAATCAAAATACCCAAGACATATCTGAAAGTCACTTTATTGTTTAAAAAAAATGTCAACGTCGCTAAAGAATGAAGTTTGGTTTGGCAGGTACGCCATCGCCGCCCTTTTCGGCCACCAGCCGCGTTGACGAGTAGCAACCGATCCGCCCAAGGAATTTTCTGTTCATTGCCTTCGGGCTATGAAAAACGACGACTGGGATCCCTCAACCTAAAATTGTACTTTATCCTTAGACCTCAATCTCCACCCTTGCTGACTTTAACGTATTCAATGTTTGTGCGGCATTATAGGAATTGTTTAATAAGCACCGAAGACGGTAGACCACTCATCGCACATTTCGTAAAGCCTTCAGCGTAACTTAGTAACTACTGACGTCTTAAAATAGCTCGCGACATGAGAGATGTCGGGTAGTGCTCAAGCTTCCATAATTCACTCTGATATTCCTCTGACAGAGCAAATTTTTGCGATCGCGGCACTCAATCACAAAATCAAAACTGTCTTTTTTTTTTTCTTCCAAGCGCCGCTAAATGTAGCTCGGAAGGGTTCCGAATGTTCGTTAGAAACAGACTTTGCACTTTTGTTCTTCAATATCGTACATGTTTCTGTTTTTACATAACATGGAAATAAGGCTAGGGTTTTATCAATAAGTGTACAAAAAGTGCAACGGAAGCAAAGTACAAGTGAAACATAATTTACCTATACTATGTTGTTTTTTTTTTCAGCAGGGAAATTGAATTAGTGAATAATGGTCATGCCAACCATATTACCAAAGAACGTGGTGGATAAGGGATACGCCTCCCGGGGGTGCGCATCACGTGGTAGCAGCGCCACGCCTTTGCGCGGCATCTTGCTGACGTAGAGATTTCAGGGAGATGGGGTAGCTTTTGCTCGGGCGGCACAAACAGTCCCCGCCTGGCGTGGGCTCTCTTTTCAATTGGCAGTATTTGGTTCGCGTGTCTGGCAATTTTGCAGATTTCGTTCAAGAGCATACCGGCGGTGGCATCGGCATCGCCTAACTTGTTGTGGCCTGAACTGTTGCGCCTACATGTCGTCCACAACAGGCGAAGGACTTTTCGATATTCATCAATGCCGTCCTCAATGCACGCCTCATACAACTTGTTTTGAAAGCACCTTCTTTGTGTTGCATCCGCCGATTCAAGAAGCATCCTTTTTCATTTTTTGGCAGGAATCAATTCGTCGCATTTTGCGCCTAACAACGCAGCTGCCTCAGTCGCGTATCGCCGGCTTATGTGCGCCTCCCTTTTTCTCACGTGACATTGTAATGTCACGTGACGTGATGTCACGCGGGACCATGACGTGATGTGGCACCGTGACGTCACATGACACTGTTGCAGATGACACTGTGATGTCACGGTGGCACATCGTCACGTCAACGTCGCGTAACACCGTGACGCCCCGTGACATCGTAGCTTTGCGTGGCTCTATGACGTCACCTGGTACCAGAACGTCACGTGATACCGTGACGTCACGCTATGAGATGATTACGTCACTTGAAACCGTCGTGACATGTAATTAAGTAGTGGCGCCTCGAGACAATAAGTCCCGTGGCACTATGACTTCACGTGTCCATATCACGCCAACACAACCTAAAATACTAAAGACCCGCGCACCAGAATTTTTGCGCTATTAGAGCGAAATCAAGCGCACACGAAGATTGTGCACGAGCGCTACATGAGCGTTCGGTTTGGTCTCATGCCCAAACAAATTTTGTGGAGGTAGAGGAAGCGGTTAGAAGCCTTGATTTTTCTAAAGTTGTGTTGGTCGGGCTACCCTGCAGCGCAGCTCAGAACACGCTGTACATCCTGTATATCTGAAACTTTATCAGCAAGATTAAGGTGCACACATATCTTTTGTTGTACTTGGCTCAACCATGCAATGCGCCTTGCCTGTCTCATTCCTCATTCTGTTCGACCTTTGAGTAGTTTTATTTTGTTTTGTCGGGCGACGTTAAGACAACATTCCGAGAAAACTGAGCTGCAGCATAAAGTGCTGTGTTTCACCTTGACGTGAACCATACTGTTTCTTCGTTTATGCAGAAAACATCGAGATATGTAGTTGAATCCAAGATATTATATATATGTGCAAAAATGCTATCTCATCAAGACATAAGGACTTTTATGAAACGCCAAAAGCATATCTTCTTCCTCTGAAAACAAAATCCGGTAAAGGCCCTGTCACACTGAGGCAACACGAAGGCAACCGCAACACAAGACGTTGTCCAACAGTCGGGCAACTTGTTTCTCGCTCCCCGTGTCGTCCGAGAAACCTGCCACATCGCGGCAAGGGCGGCACAACAATGACGACAACTAGAATGTTGCCTCTTTATGACAGCTTTTGTCAACAAAAACAGCAGCAACTTCTGTCGGACAACGTGTGTTGCCCTGATCGCTGGCTGAGCAAATTTCGGGACGGCAACACGACAACACAGATAGCGTCGATGATAATGCTATAGTTCCTTATCAGTAACGTCTTACTCAAATAAAGGCTTGGAAAATATTATTGAACAATAATTAAGGCTGGCGTACATCTGAAATATTTTGATGAATGTTTTTACTACGTAATTACAGAAAGCGATTCTCAAAATGGTCACAGCTACGGTCGTGAACGTTGAAACTGCTGTTGAAATTATAACTGCCAAAGCCAGCTCACTCTATACTGATAGTGAAATAATATTCTATGCCTGTTCACCCGCTGATAAATTATAATAAAATAATCCAGAAGGAGCAAAGATTTAAAAGTCGAAGCATTGCAACGACCACTCTGATCATGATCATTGATGCTTAGAACTTAGAAACAGCCACTACCAGACACCTAATTTGTTTAAAAAATACCCAGGAAGTTTTGGGGAATGAAGCGATAACATAGTAGGCGGTAGGCAAATAGACAGCGTTGAAAAATATTTATTTCATCGATTGCTATAAAGGGCGATCGTGTCGGTGTTGCAGCTTTTAAGCACTGTCAGTTCAGCTCAACACCACTTTACAAAATACGCTTTGGGAGTACTCCCGATGCTAACTCGATTTTACGGTAGAAATAGGAATTGCATGAAAAAAAGAACCGGGCAGAAACACTTCATACGGTGGCGTAAACCCCGAAAAGATATCAGCGATCTCATTTTCCTTGGTTAGGGCTAACTGCTTTTTAAGCGAGTGAAGAACATTTTGACAAAATAGAGTGTGAAAAATACTCCCCGTGTCAAGTTTTCTAATCACAATCACCGGTTGATGTCGTCCCATTGTAATCTCCGGCCCTTCAAACGAACTAGCACTTTGAAAAGTCACATTTTCAGCGACTCTGCGCCGCACACAAACGAAGGTAAACAATGAAGACGGAGGAGTGTTGTACGCGCCGTCAGCGCAGTGTGAAAGGGTGGTCGGACAACAAATCGGTCAACACGGTTGCCGGACGGCAGCAACATTTTGCCCAACTGTTGTTGCCGCGATGTGACAGGGTCGCCGGCAACGCGACTGCCTCGTGTTGCCGGATAGAGTTGTCCATATGTTGCCTTAGTGTGACAGGGCCTTAAGAACTACTTTGCGCGCCTGCGCGAAGCGCAAACGCGCGAAGTAGTTCTTAAGGCCTGAAGTTCTTAAGGCCTGCACACTCTTAAGGTCTGAAGTATGTGCAGACTTGTGCGTCTGCGCAAGTCTGCACACTCTTGTACACAATGGACCAGCAAGCAAAGGCTATATTTGCGACGTTCGACTTGTCAGCTTAACAGGGCAAATACTCCGACATTTTGAAAAACACGTTCAACGAACAGTTTGTGAAACGATGAAACGTGGTGTACGAGAGAGCGTGCTTTCATCGTGGCAACAGAAACAAGGCGAGTCGGTCGATCATCACGTCACTGGACTGCACATTGTGGCTGAGCGTTGTGCCTTCGGCGAAATGAAGCCGCGGATGATCCGAGATCAGTCCGGGGTGGGCCCTCTGGACTAGAAGTTTTTGGAATCGCCGCTGATGAGCGCTAAGGTGACTCGAGAAACGGCACTAGCCAAAACGAAGCTGA